AATACGGTGATGCAAAAGCTGATATGATTACTGTATGTCAAGCAAGTAATCATGATAATAAAGCTCAAAAGAGAAAAATAAATGATTTTGAAAAAGATTATTCTACAGCGAAAGCAGTTTGGTGGTACACATATGATAGTTTTCTATATCGATTATTAAACAAAGCTTTACGTACACAAGATATGGAAATTATATTTAAATTTCGATTTTTCATCAATGATCTTCAGAATGAGATCGAAAAACTTTACAATAGATATTTAGATAAGTGTTCTTCTAAACCTAATCATCATTTCAAAGTTTATCGTAGTCAAATTTTAAGTATGACAGAACTTGATCAACTTAAACAGAATGTAAATGAACTTATTTCGATGAATAGTTTCTTAAGCGCTACATTAAATCCAGAGGTAGCTGAACTTTATTCAAGTCCAAATGATCAATTGAATGATCCATCAGCATTACAATCTGTATATTTCATAATTGGTGTTTATAATTTAAGTAAACAAACGACACCATTTGCATTTATAGAACATCATTCATGTAATCCAGATGAAAAAGAAGTACTTTTTTCAATGGGTGCTATTTTCAAAGTTCAATCAGTGACAAAACATAGTAACATGTGGCATATTCATTTACAACTAACTAATGAGCAAAACCAACTTGGTCAAAAACTCTTAGATCATATGTTGGAACAAATCAAATCGGAACCAGGTCCATTGTCATTCGGTTGGTTTCTTTTTCGAATGAGTGAATTTAACAAAGCTGAACGCTATGCCCAATGGATGATTCAACAACTTCCACCGAATTATATAGGAAATGGAGATGCTTACAATTTACTTGGCCTCTTTTATAAAGATACTAATAAGTTACAAGAATCTGTTGAATCTTATGAGAAAGCGCTTGATATTTATTCTCGTTTGGGTTATCACAATAGTCCTCGAGCTATTGCTACTCATTGTAGTCTTGGTTTGGCTTATTTGGCATTAGACGATAATCGAAGTGCAGATGATCAACAAAGACAAGCCGAAGAAAAGTTTGATTCATTATCAACACAGGATCTATTACTGAAATCTAAAGTAGATGTTCTTAAAGCCAAACTTATGGCAAGTTATGGTTGTACAACAGAAGCTTTGGAAAGTTTAGAACAGTCTTTACAGAATAAAAGAAAGCGATTACCAGCAAACCATCCTTCGATTGGAACAACTCTGAATGATATAGGTATTGTGCATGATAAAATAAACAATAATATAAAAGCACTTGAATATTTTCAACAAGCATTGAACATTGGTAAGAAAAGTTTAACATCCGATCACTTAGAATTAGTTGACTATCATACAAATGTTGGTCGTGTGTATGCTAAACTTAGACAATTTAAATTTGCTTTGGAACAATTCGAATCAGCACTAACAGTTTTGATGGAATACGATCAACGAGACGATGAAAGAATTGCAGAATTAAAGACATTTATCGCCGACATGAAAACAAAATTATGTTAGTCGAAATTTTATTTGTGAAACTTTTTTATACTTATCTTTTTTCATCGATTTTAGAACAATATTTTATATTTAAAAACAAATAAACAGAAATATATTTAATATCTCCTACATATCTGATGCTACTAATACATTTATATATAGTCAGTTAGTCTGATAATTCAAGCAAAATCAAAAAGAAAGATTGACTTTCTAAATAAAACTTCATTAGATGAACCAATAAAAACTAAGCAATAGGTATTCTATTTTTTTTTTAGTCTAGTGTTAAATAGCAACGTGTCAAGTGATTTGCTGATGATGCTATTGTTTATAAATCACAATCAATTATATCTAGATAATTCTCTTTGAATGAAAGTTAAATATCTACTTAAACATGTATCAATGTAAGCGGCAATACCAACAACAGTTTCCTTATTTAGAAATGTACCATATCGAATAAAAATTTTAATATCTCATATCTGATGAATATGTTACTTTCGATAACCATTGAAATTTCGACAAAAATACTTAATGTTACATCCTATGATCATTTATATTTTTTTTTGTATTAAAGCATTGATTACTCGGCCTTTAAAATGGACTTGTATAATATTAAATTTATCAAGTTTTACTTTATTGCTCATCAAACGAC